GGAAACCGGGATACCTGGAAACCGTGATAGAATACCAGGAAACCGGGATACCGGGATATTGGGAAACCGGGAAACCGGGAAACCGGGAAATCGGGAAACCGGGAAACCGGGATACCAGGAAACCGGGAAACCGGGATACAGGGATACCGGGATACCGGGAAACCGAGAAACCGGAAAACCGGGATACCGGGAAACCGGGAAACCGGGAAACCGGGATACCGGGAAAACGGGAAACCGGGATACCGGGAAACCGGGATACCGGGAAACCGGGATACCGGGAAACCGGGAAACCGGGAAACCAGGATGCGGGGATACCGGGATACCGGGATACCGGGAAACCAGGAAACCGGGAAGCCGGGATACCGGGAAACCAGGAAACCGGGAAACCGGGATACCGGGCTACCGGGATACCGGGATACTGGGATACCGTGATACCAGGATACCGGGATACCGTGATACCGGGAAACAAGGATACCGGGATACCGGGAAACCGGGATATCGGGATACCGGGAAACCGGGAAACCGGGATACCGGGAAACCGGGAAACCGGGACACCGGGAAACCGGGAAACCGGGAAACCGGGAAACCGGGATAACCGGGATACCGGGATACCGGGATACCGGGAAACCGGGATACCGGGAACCCGGGAAACCGGGAAACCGGGAAACCGGGAAACCGGGATACCGGGATACCGGGATACCGGGAAACTGGGATACCGGGATATCAGGAAACCAGGATACCGGGATACCGGGAAACCGGGATACCGGGAAATCGGGAAACCGGGATACCGGGATACCGGGATAGGATACCGGGAAACCGGGATACCGGGAACCCGGGAAACCGGGAAACCGGGATACCGGGATACCGGGATACCGGGAAACTGGGATACCGGGATATCGGGAAACCGGGATACCGGGATACCGGGAAACCGGGATAACGGGAAACCGGGAAACCGGGATACCGGGATACCGGGATATTGGGATAGGATACCGGGAAACCGGGATACCGGGATACCGGGATACCGGGAAACCGGGAAACCGGGAAACCGGGATACCCGGTATCGGATACCGGGAAACCGGGATACCGGGATACCGGGATACCGGGAAACCGGGAAACCGGGAAACCGGGATACCGGGATACCGGGAAACCGGGAAACCGGGATACCGGGATACCAGGATACCGGGATACCGGGAAACCGGGAAACCGGGATACGGGGATACCCGAAACCGGGATACCGGGATACCGGGATATCGGGATACCGGGATACCGGGAAACTGGGAAACCGGGAAACCAGGATACCGGGATACCGGGATACCGGGATACAGGGCAACCAGGAAACCGGGAAACCGGGAAACAGGGATACCGGGATACCGGGAAACCGGGATACTGGGATACCGGGATACCGGGAAACCGGGAAACCGGGATACCGGGATACCGGGATACCGGGAAACCGGGAAATCGGGATACCGGGATACCGGGATACGGGGATACCGGGAAACCAGGATACCGGGATACCGGGAGACCGGGAGACCGGGAGACCCGGAGACCGGGAGACCGGGAGACCGGGATACCGGGAGACCGGGAGACCGGGAGACCGGGATACCGGGAAACCGGGAAACAGGGAAACCGGGAACCGGGAAACCGGGATACCAGGATACCGGGAAAACCGGGATACTGGGATACCGGGAACTGGGATACCGGGATACCGGGATACCGGGATACCGGGATACCGAAAACCGGGATATAGGGAAACCGGGAAACTGGTATACCGGGATACGGGAAAACAAGGATACCAGGATACCGGGATATCGGGAAACCGGGATACCAGGATACCGGGAAACCGGGATACCTGGAAACCGTGATAGAATACCAGGAAACCGGGATACCGGGATATCGGGAAACCGGGAAACCGGGAAACCGGGAAACCGGGAAACCGGGATACCAGGAAACCGGGAAACCGGGATACAGGGATACCGGGATACCGGGAAACCGAGAAACCGGGAAACCGGGATACCGGGAAACCGGGAAACCGGGATACCGGGAAAACGGGAAACCGGGATACCGGGAAACCGGGATACCGGGAAACCGGGATACCGGGAAACCGGGAAACCGGGAAACCAGGATGCGGGGATACCGGGATACCGGGATACCGGGAAACCAGGAAACCGGGAAGCCGGGATACCGGGAAACCAGGAAACCGGGAAACCGGGATACCGGGCTACCGGGATACCGGGATACTGGGATACCGTGATACCAGGATACCGGGATACCGTGATACCGGGAAACAAGGATACCGGGATACCGGGAAACCGGGATACCGGGATACCGGGAAACCGGGAAACCGGGATACCGGGAAACCGGGAAACCGGGACACCGGGAAACCGGGAAACCGGGAAACCGGGAAACCGGGAAACCGGGATAACCGGGATACCGGGATACCGGGATACCGGGAAACCGGGATACCGGGAACCCGGGAAACCGGGAAACCGGGAAACCGGCAAACCGGGATACCGGGATACCGGGATACCGGGAAACTGGGATACCGGGATATCGGGAAACCAGGATACCGGGATACCGGGAAACCGGGATACCGGGAAACCGGGAAACCGGGATACCGGGATACCGGGATATTGGGATAGGATACCGGGAAACCGGGATACCGGGAACCCGGGAAACCGGGAAACCGGGATACCGGGATACCGGGATACCGGGAAACTGGGATACCGGGATATCGGGAAACCGGGATACCGGGATATCGGGAAACCGGGATAACGGGAAACCGGGAAACCGGGATACCGGGATACCGGGATATTGGGATAGGATACCGGGAAACCGGGATACCGGGATACCGGGATACCGGGAAACCGGGAAACCGGGAAACCGGGATACCCGGTATCGGATACCGGGAAACCGGGATACCGGGATACCGGGATACCGGGAAACCGGGATACCGGGATACCGGGAAACCGGGAAACCGGGATACCGGGATACCAGGATACCGGGATACCGGGAAACCGGGAAACCGGGATACGGGGATACCCGAAACCGGGATACCGGGATACCGGGATATCGGGATACCGGGATACCGGGAAACTGGGAAACCGGGAAACCAGGATACCGGGATACCGGGATACCGGGATACCGGGCAACCAGGAAACCGGGAAACCGGGAAACCGGGATACCGGGATACCGGGAAACCGGGATACCGGGATACCGGGATACCGGGAAACCGGGAAACCGGGATACCGGGATACCGGGATACCAGGAAACCGGGAAATCGGGATACCGGGATACCGGGATACGGGGATACCGGGAAACCAGGATACCGGGATACCGGGAGACCGGGAGACCGGGAGACCCGGAGACCGGGAGACCGGGAGACCGGGATACCGGGAGACCGGGAGACTGGGAGACCGGGATACCGGAAACCGGGAAACAGGGAAACCAGGAACCGGGAAACCGGGATACCAGGATACCGGGAAAACCGGGATACTGGGATACCGGGAACTGGGATACCGGGATACCGGGATACCGGGATACCGGGATACCGGGATACCGAAAACCGGGATATAGGGAAACCGGGAAACCGGTATACCGGGATACGGGAAAACAAGGATACCAGGATACCGGGATATCGGGAAACCGGGATACCAGGATACCGGGAAACCGGGATACCTGGAAACCGTGATAGAATACCAGGAAACCGGGATACCGGGATATCGGGAAACCGGGAAACCGGGAAACCGGGAAATCGGGAAACCGGGAAACCGGGATACCAGGAAACCGGGAAACCGGGATATAGGGATACCGGGATACCGGGAAACCGAGAAACCGGGAAACCGGGATACCGGGAAACCGGGAAACCGGGAAACCGGGATACCGGGAAAACGGGAAACCGGGATACCGGGAAACCGGGATACCGGGAAACCGGGATACCGGGAAACCGGGAAACCGGGAAACCAGGATGCGGGGATACCGGGATACCGGGATACCGGGAAACCAGGAAACCGGGAAGCCGGGATACCGGGAAACCAGGAAACCGGGAAACCGGGATACCGGGCTACCGGGATACCGGGATACTGGGATACCGTGATACCAGGATACCGGGATACCGTGATACCGGGAAACAAGGATACCGGGATACCGGGAAACCGGGATACCGGGATACCGGGAAACCGGGAAACCGGGATACCGGGAAACCGGGAAACCGGGACACCGGGAAACCGGGAAACCGGGAAACCGGGAAACCGGGATAACCGGGATACCGGGATACCGGGATACCGGGAAACCGGGATACCGGGAACCCGGGAAACCGGGAAACCGGGAAACCGGGATACCGGGATACCGGGATACCGGGAAACTGGGATACCGGGATATCGGGAAACCAGGATACCGGGATACCGGGAAACCGGGATACCGGGAAACCGGGAAACCGGGATACCGGGATACCGGGATATTGGGATAGGATACCGGGAAACCGGGATACCGGGATACCGGGATACCGGGATACCGGGATACCGGGATACCGGGATACCGGGATACCGGGAAACCGGGAAACCGGGATACCGGGATACCAGGATACCGGGATACCGGGAAACCGGGATACGGGGATACCCGAAAACCGGGATACCGGGATACCGGGATATCGGGATACCGGGATACCGGGAAACTGGGAAACCGGGAAACCGGGATACCGGGATACCGGGATACCGGGCAACTGGGAAACCGGGAAACCGGGAAACCGGGATACCGGGATACCGGGACCGGGATACCGGGACACCGGGATACCGGGATACCGGGATACGGGGGAACCGGGAGACCGGGAGACCGGGAAACCGGGAAACCGGGATACCGGGATACCGGGATACCGGGAAACCGGGAAACCGGGATACCGGGAAAGACAGCAAGAAAGACAGCGAGGGCGAGCAGGAAGAAGTTCAAGATTGAGGGGAGAGGGCTCATCAGCCTGCCTCCCCTCCTGCCTGCTTGCCCGCCCACACCTACACACAACACACATACGCACGCACCTGAGCCATGGTCATGCCAAACACAAGGTAGGCGTAGGTGGCATATGCGAGGAAGACTGCTAGGGCGAGCAGGAAGAAGTGCAGGATGGAGGGGAGAGCCCTCACCAGCCTGCCACACAAGGCGCCACGCATGCGCCCCCCGCACACACACGTCCGACTCACCTGTGCCATGGTCATGCCAAACACGAGGTAGGCATAGGTGGCATAGGCGAGGAAGACAGCCAGGGAGAGTAGGAAGAAGTGCAGGATGGAGGGGAGGGCGACGCGGATGGAGCGAGTGATGATGCCCATGTGCGGCTGGAAGTCCATCAGCTTGAGCACTCGCAGCACCATGATGAACACACTGATGAGGTTGGGGCGTAGGAGAGATGGGGGAGGGAAGGATGGAGAGGGACGCATGGGTACAGGAAAGGCGGTGGGGGAAAAGAGAGTGCAAACCCGGAAAACACTCACTGCAAGTCACTCACTGCAACCCGCTCATTGCAAGCCCTTCATTTCACTGCACTCACTTCATGCCCTGCAGAGCGAAGTAAGCTGAGCTCGTGTTGATAATACTGCCCAGTTTGTCAGCAGCAGCCACTGCAGCCAGGTACCCCGAGGGCGGGTTGGGGAGGGCCCAGTAGCGCGGGTACTCATCCAGAGTGTAGTAGATGTTGTAGCGTGCCTGCATGTTGAAGCTCTGCCCGGATAGCACTGCCATTGATATCCTGCGCATGGTGCAGGGGAGAGTGAGCGGGACAGGGCACATCAATACAAGCACCACTTGAGAGGGCAGAGGGCAAGAGGGCGGGTTAGGGAGTGCCCAGTAATAAGGGTACTCATCAAGAGTATAGCATATGTTGTAGCGGGCTTGCATGGTAAAGCTCACTGCACACTCACTGCACACTTACTGCACACGCACTTCACACTCACTCCACATTCACTTCACAACACTAATGACGCCACAACATCACACTCCCCCACTCACCACATGCAGATGCAGAGAATCTGGACGGAGATGGAAAGCCAGTCCACCCAGTTCCACCCCTGCCGCCAGTAATGCCAGAAGGACCTTCGCTGCACCTTCCAAATCCACATCATCTCCTTCACCTCCTCCACTACGTTCCAAACCACGCCGGCCACAAACAGCAGCTCCAGGACGAGCCGTATCACGTTGTTTGTCACATTCAGGTCGTAGTATTCCACGTTGACCGGCTGGATTAGGAAAGTAGCGTCCATGCTGCCGCCCGGCTGAAGGGAGAGGGTGGCTTTGGTGGCGGTGAACAGTTGCTCATTGGCTGGAGGGGAGCAACAGGGACAAGGGAAGCCGGGGCAAGAGGGGGTACAAGGGGATGAGGAAATGGGTTTAGTGAAAATGAGGAACATGGTTGATGGTGGTGGTGAAAAGTTGCTTGTTGGCTGGAGGGGGCGACAGCAAGGGAGGCAACAGGAAGGGATGAGATGACAGGGACAGGGGTAATCGGGAAAGGGAGAGGAGAGGAAAAGAGGTTGTCGAAGGAGAATACTGAGACATCTCAAAGAAGTTTGAGAATATGCTCCCTCCATCCCTCCCTCCCTGCGTCTCACCCTTGCGAGTGATGAGTTTTGAGACGTCTCATGAGCACGACATCGATGCTGCGTGTGTAGTTGTCCACAAAGAACCCATCCACTGCAGCCGCCACCCCATTGTCAAGGAGCAGCCCCCCCTCCCTGCCTCTCACTGTTCCTCCCTGCCTCTCACCATTGCGGGTGATGAGCACGACATCAATGCTCCGTGTGTAAGTTGTCCACAAAGAACCCATCCACCAGGTACTGCAGCCGGCGCGTGGCCCACCGGTTGTCATGTGCACACCTCATAACCGCATCTCACCGTTGCCTCTCACCATTACGAGTGATGAGAACCAGGTCAATGCTGCGTGTGTAGTTGTCCACGAAGAACCCGTCCACCAGGTACTGCAGCCGCCGAGTGGATGCACCATTGTCATGAGCACACCTCATTACCGCATCTCACCACTGTTGCCCCTCACCGTTGCGAGTGATAAGAACAATGTCGATGCTGCGCGTGTAGCTGTCCACGAAGAACCCGTCCACCAGGTACTGCAGCCGCCGAGTGGATGCACCATTGTCATGAGCACACCTCATTACCGCATCTCACCACCGTTGCCCCTCACCGTTGCGAGTGATAAGAACAACGTCGATGCTGCGCGTGTAGTTGTCCACGAAGAACCCGTCCACCAGGTACTGCAGCCGCCGAGTGGATGCACCATTGTCATGAGCACACCTCATTACCGCATCTCACCACCGTTGCCCCTCACCGTTGCGAGTGATAAGAACAACGTCGATGCTGCGTGTGTAGTTGTCCACGAAGAACCCGTCCACCAGGTACTGCAGCCGCCGTGTGAATGCACCATTGTCATGAGCACACCTCATTACCGCATCTCACCACCGTTGCCCCTCACCGTTGCGAGTGATAAGAACAACGTCGATGCTGCGCGTGTAGTTGTCCACGAAGAACCCGTCCACCAGGTACTGCAGCCGCCGTGTGGATGCACCATTGTCATGAGCACACCTCATTACCGCATCTCACCACCGTTGCCCCTCACCGTTGCGAGTGATAAGAACAACGTCGATGCTGCGTGTGTAGTTGTCCACGAAGAACCCGTCCACCAGGTACTGCAGCCGCCGTGTGGATGCACCATTGTCATGAGCACACCTCATTACCACATCTCACCACCGTTGCCCCTCACCGTTGCGAGTGATAAGAACAACGTCGATGCTGCGCGTGTAGTTGTCCACGAAGAACCCGTCCACCAGGTACTGCAGCCGCCGTGTGGATGCACCATTGTCATGAGCACACCTCATTACCGCATCTCACCACCGTTGCCCCTCACCGTTGCGAGTGATAAGAACAACGTCGATGCTGCGTGTGTAGTTGTCCACGAAGAACCCGTCCACCAGGTACTGCAGCCGCCGTGTGGATGCACCATTGTCATGAGCACACCTCATTACCGCATCTCACCACCGTTGCCCCTCACCGTTGCGAGTGATAAGAACAACGTCGATGCTGCGTGTGTAGTTGTCCACGAAGAACCCGTCCACCAGGTACTGCAGCCGCCGTGTGGATGCACCATTGTCATGAGCACACCTCATTACCGCATCTCACCACCGTTGCCCCTCACCGTTGCGAGTGATAAGAACAACGTCGATGCTGCGTGTGTAGTTGTCCACGAAGAACCCGTCCACCAGGTACTGCAGCCGCCGTGTGGATGCACCATTGTCATGAGCACACCTCATTACCGCATCTCACCACCGTTGCCCCTCACCGTTGCGAGTGATAAGAACAACGTCGACGCTGCGCGTGTAGTTGTCCACGAAGAACCCGTCCCCCAGGTACTGCAGCCGCCGTGTGGATGCACCATTGTCATGAGCACACCTCATTACCGCATCTCACCACCGTTGCCCCTCACCGTTGCGAGTGATAAGAACAACGTCGATGCTGCGTGTGTAGTTGTCCACGAAGAACCCGTCCACCAGGTACTGCAGCCGCCGTGTGAATGCACCATTGTCATGAGCACACCTCATTACCGCATCTCACCACCGTTGCCCCTCACCGTTGCGAGTGATAAGAACAACGTCGATGCTGCGTGTGTAGTTGTCCACGAAGAACCCGTCCACCAGGTACTGCAGCCGCCGTGTGGATGCACCATTGTCATGAGCACACCTCATTACCGCATCTCACCACCGTTGCCCCTCACCGTTGCGAGTGATAAGAACAACGTCGATGCTGCGCGTGTAGTTGTCCACGAAGAACCCGTCCACCAGGTACTGCAGCCGCCGTGTGGATGCACCATTGTCATGAGCACACCTCATTACCGCATCTCACCACCGTTGCCCCTCACCGTTGCGAGTGATAAGAACAACGTCGATGCTGCGTGTGTAGTTGTCCACGAAGAACCCGTCCACCAGGTACTGCAGCCGCCGTGTGGATGCACCATTGTCATGAGCACACCTCATTACCGCATCTCACCACCGTTGCCCCTCACCGTTGCGAGTGATAAGAACAACGTCGATGCTGCGTGTGTAGTTGTCCACGAAGAACCCGTCCACCAGGTACTGCAGCCGCCGTGTGGATGCACCATTGTCATGAGCACACCTCATTACCGCATCTCACCACCGTTGCCCCTCACCGTTGCGAGTGATAAGAACAACGTCGATGCTGCGCGTGTAGTTGTCCACGAAGAACCCGTCCACCAGGTACTGCAGCCGCCGTGTGGATGCACCATTGTCATGAGCACACCTCATTACCGCATCTCACCACCGTTGCCCCTCACCGTTGCGAGTGATAAGAACAACGTCGATGCTGCGTGTGTAGTTGTCCACGAAGAACCCGTCCACCAGGTACTGCAGCCGCCGTGTGGATGCACCATTGTCATGAGCACACCTCATTACCGCATCTCACCACCGTTGCCCCTCACCGTTGCGAGTGATAAGAACAACGTCGATGCTGCGTGTGTAGTTGTCCACGAAGAACCCGTCCACCAGGTACTGCAGCCGCCGTGTGGATGCACCATTGTCATGAGCACACCTCATTACCGCATCTCACCACCGTTGCCCCTCACCGTTGCGAGTGATAAGAACAACGTCGATGCTGCGCGTGTAGTTGTCCACGAAGAACCCGTCCACCAGGTACTGCAGCCGCCGTGTGGATGCACCATTGTCATGAGCACACCTCATTACCGCATCTCACCACCGTTGCCCCTCACCGTTGCGAGTGATAAGAACAACGTCGATGCTGCGTGTGTAGTTGTCCACGAAGAACCCGTCCACCAGGTACTGCAGCCGCCGTGTGGATGCACCATTGTCATGAGCACACCTCATTACCGCATCTCACCACCGTTGCCCCTCACCGTTGCGAGTGATAAGAACAACGTCGATGCTGCGTGTGTAGTTGTCCACGAAGAACCCGTCCACCAGGTACTGCAGCCGCCGTGTGGATGCACCATTGTCATGAGCACACCTCATTACCGCATCTCACCACCGTTGCCCCTCACCGTTGCGAGTGATAAGAACAACGTCGACGCTGCGCGTGTAGTTGTCCACGAAGAACCCGTCCCCCAGGTACTGCAGCCGCCGTGTGGATGCACCATTGTCATGAGCACACCTCATTACCGCATCTCACCACCGTTGCCCCTCACCGTTGCGAGTGATAAGAACAACGTCGATGCTGCGTGTGTAGTTGTCCACGAAGAACCCGTCCACCAGGTACTGCAGCCGCCGTGTGAATGCACCATTGTCATGAGCACACCTCATTACCGCATCTCACCACCGTTGCCCCTCACCGTTGCGAGTGATAAGAACAACGTCGATGCTGCGCGTGTAGTTGTCCACGAAGAACCCGTCCACCAGGTACTGCAGCCGCCGTGTGGATGCACCATTGTCATGAGCACACCTCATTACCGCATCTCACCACCGTTGCCCTTCACCGTTGCGAGTGATAAGAACAACGTCGATGCTGCGTGTGTAGTTGTCCACGAAGAACCCGTCCACCAGGTACTGCAGCCGCCGTGTGGATGCACCATTGTCATGAGCACACCTCATTACCACATCTCACCACCGTTGCCCCTCACCGTTGCGAGTGATAAGAACAACGTCGATGCTGCGCGTGTAGTTGTCCACGAAGAACCCGTCCACCAGGTACTGCAGCCGCCGTGTGGATGCACCATTGTCATGAGCACACCTCATTACCGCATCTCACCACCGTTGCCCCTCACCGTTGCGAGTGATAAGAACAACGTCGATGCTGCGTGTGTAGTTGTCCACGAAGAACCCGTCCACCAGGTACTGCAGCCGCCGTGTGGATGCACCATTGTCATGAGCACACCTCATTACCGCATCTCACCACCGTTGCCCCTCACCGTTGCGAGTGATAAGAACAACGTCGATGCTGCGCGTGTAGTTGTCCACGAAGAACCCGTCCACCAGGTACTGCAGCCGCCGTGTTGCTGCCCCGTTGTCCAGATTCACATCAAACACCAGCGGGAAGCGGCTGCTGCCAGGCTGCATGAGAGACAGGGAGCGGACAGACAACAGGGGACAAGGTTACAGATTCACATCAAATACCAGTGGGAAGCAGTTGCTGGAGGGAGCATTGGCAGCAGCATGCCAGAGTCGCACCAACACCCTCACAGCAACGCCAGAGCGCTACTGCCTTGGAGTCTTACTAGCTGCTGAAAGCAATAGGGAAACCCCTTGGCATTGAGCTCAAAAAGATTGGCAAAGGACTTGTTCCTGCAGGCGTTGGCAGGCGTTGGCAGCCGCACTAGCAAAGTGGAGCGAGGTTGAAATTGTTTTTGAGAATTCTGAAAAACAATCTGCAAGATTGGCAAAGGACTTGTTCCTGGAGACGTTGGCAGGCGTTGGCAGCCGCACTAGCAAAGTGGAGCGAGGTTGAAATGTGAGGCGCCCAAAACTCAAAGATCAAAAGCAGAGAGGGAGTCTCACCAGCTGCTGAAAGCCATATGGCAACCCCTTGGCGTTAAGCTCAAAGGGATTGGCAAATGTTTCGTTGGTGTAGGCGGTCATGTTGGCAGCAGCATTGGCGTTGTACAGCGAGGAGGACGGAAGGAAGACTGGGTTCACCCCGAAAGCCTCGGATGACTCGCCTCTCACACACAAGTCCTGGAAGTGAAACCTGCACATCCGGTTGGGGGTGAAGTGGAGACGAGCAGGGTGGGGTTGGCAAAGGAAGCGTTGGTGTAGGCGGAGGTGTTGGCAGCAGCATTGGCGTTGTATAGCGAGGAGGACGGAAGGAAGACTGGGTTCACCCCGAACGCCTGGTGGGGCGTAGTGATGTTGCGACTGGTGTGGTCACTGAAGCAGTTTTGAAAGAGCAGCAAATGGTTAATCGGGCGTAGTGATGTCGCGACTGGTGTGGTCACTGAATACAGGCGTGCTTTATGCCTGACCATGCGCGTTAAGGCTGGCCCATGCTAACAGCACAGCTCACCAGCTCATTCCCATGCATGTGCCTCACTCACTTGCCTGCTCATGCACCGTCTGCGTTCAGAGCAAGCTCAAGCAGCAGCCGCACCGGAGCTCCCCCTCCGCTGTTGCGCAGCCACTTGATCTTGTTCACATGGACCTATGGGGCCCTAATCCCTCTCCCACTCGCCAGGGCCATCGCTACCTTCTCGTGCTTGTTGATGATCACAGTCGGTACTCATCCGTCTCTCTCCTTCGGACGAAGGCGGATGCCCCGGCTGCGATCATCGCCTGGCTCGAGCGGGCAAACACCCATTTTGGGCGCCCTGTTCACCGTCTTCACTCTGATGGAGGTGGTGAGTTCCTTAACAACCAAGTTTCCTCCTATTGTCAGTCTCGTGGCATCCTTCAGACTTACATCCTCCCTCACTCCCCACAGCAGAACGGCGTGGCTGAGAGTCGTGTTCGAGAGATCACCAAAACAGCCCGATGTCTGCTTGTCCACGCCTCCTGTCCCCCTTCTCTTTGGGGCTACGCCCTCCTTCATGCCGCCCTCCTTACTAACCTTTACCCTCACCCCCTTCTCCCCTCCATCACCCCCACTGAGCTATGGACGAAGGACAAGCCTGATGCCTCATCACTTCGTGTCTGGGGCTCTAAGGCACATGTCCACATTCACCCCTCTGACCGCTCCCGTTCCATGGGAAAGCTTGCCCCTCGTACCCTTCCTTGCATCTTCCTTGGTCATAATCCCTCCTCCCCCGACTACCTTTTCCTCCACCCCCCATCCGGTCGTCTAATCCGTAGCAGGGATGTGGTCTTTGACGAGTCCACTCCCTACTACTCCTCTCCCACATCTACTGACCCACTCCCCCCTCTCACCCGTCCCCTTGTCTGGTCTGACACCACCCCTCCCCCACTACTCCCTCCTCCCCTCATCCTCCCACCCCCCCCTTCTCCGCCGTCCCAGTCCCATGGTGCCCCTCCCTCTTCTGGTGACATCTTTGACCCGGAACCTCTGTCTTCTCCTGTCTCCCCTGCTCACTCCTCTCCTAGTACCCCTCCCCCCCCCCCCTTCCTCTCCCTCGCCACCAACCCGTCCTCCCCCTTCCCGCACCATACTCACCCGGTATCCCCACACCAAGTCACGTGACGGTATCCTTGGTGCACCGCCTCCCGTTACCCTCTCTACCTATACCCTTCCCCCTCTCTCCCCCCTCCTTCGTCACTTCTTCCAGGCTGTCTTGCATCAAGCCCCTCATGCAACAGCCCCCTCAGCCACCTCCTCTCCAGCAGCGGCACCAGCAGCGGCTCCTAGCAGCGGCAGCAGCAGCGGGACCAGCAGCGGCAGCAGCAGCAGCAGCGGGAACGGCATCGGCAGCAGCAGCGGGACCAGCAGCGGCACCAGCAGCGGCACCAGCAGCAGCACCAGCAACAGGACCAGCAGCAGCACCAGCAGCGGCACCAGCAGCGGCACCAGCAGCAGTACCAGCAGCAGCACCGGCAACGCCTCCACCAGCAGCACCAGCAGTCATCGGCGCCTTCCACACCTCCCTCTCTGAGGACTCCCATGAGGAGTTCCTTGACCTCCACCTTTATGACCCCTCACTTCTACCCATCACGTTCGACCTCTCCGGCACACCTGTCTTCGCCTTCTCCTCTGCTCCCTCCATTTTCGTTCCTACCACGTACGAGGAGGCAATGGCGTGCCCTGACGCTCCGCTATGGCTCGCTGCCATCATCAAGGAGCTGGAGGCCTTTATCGGCAACTCCTCCTTTGTCGATGTGCCTCGCCCTCCCGCCCCTACGAACGTGGTGAAAGGAAAGTGGGTGTTTCGTGTCAAGCAGCTGCCAGGGGAGCCGCCCGTCTATAAGGCTCGTTGTTGCGCCAAGGGGTTCACGCAGCGGTATGGTTTTGACTTCTTCGATACCTTCTCCCCTACTGCCAAGCCTGCTACTGTTCGCGCCGTGCTCGACCTCGCCGCTCGCCTCATTATGGAGATCCACTCGATGGACGTTTCTAACGCCTTCCTACAAGGCGTCCTCCGCGAGCTTATCTACATGGAGCGTCCAGCCGGCTTTCACCTCCCCTTCCCAGCAGACTCTGTCTGGCAGCTGCGTCGACCGGTGTATGGGCTTCGACAGGCCCCGAGGGAGTGGCATGCTAAACTTGCCGCCACCCTTGCTCAACTCGGGTTCCGCACCTCCCGCTCTGACGCCAGCCTCTTCCTCCGCACCTCCCCCTCCCCATTTTACATCCTTGTGTATGTCGATGACATGATTCTGCTCACTGCCGACCTTGAAGAGTTGGAGCATGTTAAGGCTGAGTTGGGCAGCCGTCTCAAGTGCAAAGACTTGGGAGAGCTACGGCATTATCTGGGCATGACCATCACCCGCGACCGCTCCGCCCGCACCATCTCACTCTCCCAAGGTCATTACTTGCAGCAGGTCTTGGAGCGGTTTGACATGGCCCGCGGCGGCGCCCAACATACACCTCTTTCTGTCGGGCACCACCTCTCTCCACCCATCTCCCCCTCCGCCTCCTCCCATCCTTATCCCGAGCTCATCGGCTCCCTCATGTACGCCATGGTCTCCACTCGCCCTGACATTGCCTACCCCATCAGCGTCCTCGCTCGGTTTGTTGGCGCTGGCAAGCATACGGCTGAGCACTGGCAAGCTGCCAAGCGCGTCCTCCGGTACCTTCGTGGCACCAAGGACTATGTCCTTACCCTTGGCGGCCCTTCCCCACCTCTCCTCAGCGGCTACAGTGACTCCTCCTGGGCTGACTCCCGACCAGACCGTCGCTCCTCCTAGGGCTATGGCTTCTCTCTTGGCAGCGGCCTCATCAGCTGGCGTTCCACGCGCTCCTCGGCTATCGCCCTCTCGTCCTGCGAAGCCGAGTTGTATGCCGCCACCATGGTTGCACAAGAGGCTCGCTGGCTCTCCTTCCTTCTTGAGGAGCTTGGTGCCCCCCAGCGCTGTCCCACCATTTGGTGTGACAACGCCAGCACCATTCACCTCACGAAGGATGCTGTGTTTCACGGGCGCTCCAAGCACATTGAGCTCCGTCATTTCTTCATTCGCGATCTTGTTCAGGTTGGGCACCTGCGGCTCGACAAGGTTGACTCCGCGGCCAACCTTGCCGACATCTTCACAAAAGCTCTTCCTCATGCGGCTCACTCTTCACTGATTCGTCTCCTTGGTCTTACTCCTCCGAAGTTGGTCCCCGCTTCTTGATTGTAGCCTTCTAGCCTTATGCATGTTCGGGGGTTGTGTTGTAATTCCATATTTTATACAACATGCATAGGCTAGACTTAGATGTGTAGTAGACATGAGCATCGCACGAATCCGAACACGTTTGATTCGAACCTTTTCGAACACCTGGAAATTTCGAACCGAACGTGTTCGGTTCCCTCGAACATTTTTTTCAGAAAACTCATGTTCGAGTGTTCGCATTCAGAGGCGAACACTTAGATGTTCACGGGAACATCTAAGTGTTCGTGGCGAACTCAAACGTGTTCGAGTTCGCCCCTGGATTTTCCACAAATCCTTCGTCGTTTCCCCACCTTGAACCGGTATCACCAGTCCCTTTCATCGCCAGAGATCTCGTCCCTAAATCAGGTTATCCCTTGGAAAGGAGGGAAGGAGAGGTCGACGGGCGAATGCCTTTCGCCACAGGCGAAGGGTCTGTCCGGACTACAAGTAACGGTTAGCCGCGTTTACTTTATAGTGGATCTGCTATAAACGGGCTCTTAGTAGCGGAAATGCCTAAGTACCCGTTCTTGGCTTATGTTTGCGTACACTAGGAGCCTAAGCCATGCTAAACTAAAAGCACGAGATCGAGCTCGAAATGAGCTCAATCCCAGATATGGAAACCAGCGCGGCCGATGTCGCGCTGGTATTTATCACGAACACTTTGATGTTCGCGTAGGGCAATTTCGAACTCGAACCCGTTCGAGTTCGAAGCGGCGCGGTAAAAAAACGCATTCGAACTCGAACATGTTCGTATCGAACCTTTTTAGCCAAAAGACAAGGAATGTTCGGTTCGACTCGAACGTTCGTGAATATGCTCATGTCTAATGTGTAGCACTCTTATAAATTGGGGGGTTGGTTAGTGTACCCTCCAACCACATTTTGTGGTTGGTGGGGATTGGTCCTTACCTCAACCAATCCCAACCAACACACATTTTGTGGTTGCTTGGGCCACAAGCAAGCTCACCCATTGGCCAACTTATTGGCCAATAGGGTAAGCTTCCCTCTCATCTCTCCCTTGCTCATTGCTTGTACTAAAGAGCCTTTTGGCTCATTATTCAGTGCATCAATTCTCTCTCTTCTAACACATGCATGTGCCTCACTCACTTGCCTGCGCATGCCCATGCATGTGGCCCGCTTACCTGCTCGTGGCACAGTCTGCAGAGTCCCAGCGGTATTGTACGATGATGAGACCCATCAGCACCCTGTGCGGGGAGGGGAGAGCACGGAGAAGCGGGAGATGCACGAGGGGCGGGAGAGGCAGGAGAGGCAGGAGAGACAGGAGAGGGAAAGACAGGACAGGAATCAGGCAGGATGCAGAGCACGCAGCTATGGTTCTGGTTGGCTCACAGCAAGCATCACACTCTGCTTCTTTGGTTGGCTTCAAATCAGAGCGTGAGGAGTGCCAGAGGTATTGCACGATAGTGAAACCCATCAGCACACTGAGGCGAGGGGAGGGGATAGGAAGGAGGTTCAGGAGGGACACATGGGGGGGGCTGAAGAGGCAGGAGTTACAGGAGAGGGAAAGGGGCAGCATGCATAGAAATAAAGAGATTGCAGAACAAGAACACGGCGTTAATTGCAAAACAGGAGAGGCTGTGGCCACGAACCTATTGCATTGGGACACAACACAAGTTTTGAGACGTCTCAAAACACGAACCTGTTGTATTGGGACACAACACGAGGCAGAGCAGTAGCGGTGCTGCCGAGAGTGGAGAGGAGGGGATGCACTGTGGGGCCGAATCGTTGCAGACTGAAGGGGACCTTGATGCCCGTGCCTGCTCCTGCTGCTTCACAGCACGCTGAGTGATGGAGGAAGGGAGGCCAGAGAAAAAAGAGTGAAAGAGAAAGACCGAATGCTGTGAAGCCATCTTTGGGAATTCTCAAAAGCCACTGATAAAGGGCCTCCTCCGCTCATCTAAACAATTCACGGGTTTGGACCACTTAAGCCTAGGGAAAGTATAATCATTTACCTTCTGAGCAGCCTAACAAACAACTGCACGCGCGTACCTCCATCATCGCCCCGTATCTGCAACACAGGACATGTGCACCACTGCACACCCACTCCTCCTCCCACACTCCCACCCGCACTCGCACCACCGCCACTGCTGCCACTGCCGCTGCCTCCTCTCCCACTCCCACCACCAGCACCAGCAGCATCACTGCCGCTGCTCACGCTGCTTCCAATACTCCCGCTGCCAGCGCCGCCGCAAGCGCAGTCCCCCCCGTCGAAGTCACAGAGAGCCACGTTGCAGGGCTGGTCGCAGCGGCCGTTGGCGAGCATGGAGAGACGGCAGTCCGGCGCACAGAGAGAGGCGAGGAGGAGCGCGTAGGGGGGGAGAGAGTCGCGGGGCTGGGGTGCTGGTGGTGGGGGGTAGGGGGAACAGGAAAGAGTTGGGAGAGGGGGAGAGGAGTCAGAAGGTGCAAAGGGGTACTTGCTGGTCGCAGCGACCGTTGGCCAGCATGGCGAGACGAGACGGCAGGCAGGCGCACAGAGGGAGGCGAGGAGGAGCACGTAGGGGGGGAGAGAGTCGCGGGGCTGGGGTGCTGGTGGTGTGAGGGAGGGGATGGGGGGCCGGCAATGGTTGAGAGAAGGGGAGAGGAGTCAGAAGGTGCAAAAAAGCACGGTGCAGGGTTGGGTTTTGAGACGCCTCAATAAACAGAGAGCCACACCCCCGTCAAAGCCACAGAGAGCGACGTTGCAGGGCTGGTAGCAGCGACATTAACATTACCATTACCATAACCATTATCAACCATTACCATTACCATTACAATTACAATTACCATTACCATTACCATTACCATTATCAACCATTACCATTACGATTACCATTACCATTACCACTACCACTACCACTATCATTACCATTACCATTACCATTACCATTACCATTACCATTACCATTACCACTATTACCATTATCAACCATTACCATTACCATTACCATTACCATTACCATTACCATACCATTACCATTACCAATACCAATATCAATACCATTACCATTACCATTACCATTACCATTACCATTACCATTACCATTACCATTACAATTACCATTACGATTACCATTACCATTATCATTACCATTACCATGACCATTAGGAAATGGTTGGGAAAGGCGGAGAAAGAGTCAGAAGCTGCAGAGGGGCATATTGCAAGGTTGAGTTATGTGCATCCATAGAGGGTGACGTTGCAGGATGAGAGTGAATGCGTGTAACAGAGGGGAGTCCCTCACTTTCATGTTTCGAGCCGTGCCTAACACCCATGCACCACACTTCTGGAGTCATGCCCACATGCAAGCCTGGACCCATACACCCACGCATCCATGCACCCATGCGCGCACCTGAATCATTCCTGGCGCGGATGAGGGTGAATGCGAGTGACTGAGGCGAGTCCTTCACAGCTATGTCTCGAGCCGTGCCAAACACCTTGGTGTATGCGAACTGGGGCGGTGATGAGTCGTCGGGAGAGCCTGCAGGGGAGGGTGCAAGAAGGAATGAGTTGAAAGACAAAATTTCTATGATATCGCAAATAACAAGCACGCAGTGCCAAACACCTTGGTGTATGCGAATTGGGGAGGTGATGTGTCGTCGGGAGAACCTGCAGGGAAGGCGTGGTGGGTGGGGTGAGGTGAGGAGTGCTTTGGGACTCTTGAGAAACCTTAAACAGACTTCTTCAGGCACCTCAACAAAAGGCATGAGGAGTGGTTGAGGGTTAATGGAGGACAAAAGAGGTAGTGCGAAAATGAGGGGTGTTGAGGACAGTGAGATAGTAGGGGGAGATGAAGGGGTGTTTGAGGGAGGTATGGCAACAAACCTGGTGTTTAAGTGCAAACGGCATTGAAAAGATATAACAGACGTTCACATATGCATGCCATGTCACCATATGCCAGCATGGCATGCCACGTCACCACTCACGCAGCACGCATGGCGCAGGCTCATCCGAGGCATCTCTGGGCCCAATGTTATCCCATGCACATGTGGCAAGCCGTGATAGGCCGAGCCGCCCCGCTCCAAACCCAAGAAACGGCTCCGAACCCGCCCATGCTGCAGTGAGGGACGAAAGAGGAAGAAAAATCAAACAAATGCATGCGGAGCGTCAGATGGAGTAGAATGCATGTGCCCACCAACCCTGCAGTGAACCCAGTGAAAGAGTAAAAGAGAGAGGACCCTGTGCAATTTTCACTGCACCGCACCTGAGAGCTCGTGGTAGTCGTCGCCGTTCCACACCTACCCACGTGGGCATGGGATGGGCAGAGGCCCACCACATCAAATCAAAGATTCACAAGCGAAGGGCAGGGCACTGCTGCACCTCTCCCGTCTCCCTCTCCTCCCTACCCTTGCTCGCCACACCTGAGAGCTCGTGGTAGTCGTCGTCGTTCCACACCCACGTGACCCGCTGCCCGTCTGATATGGCGCGGCGGGTGAAGGACGCAGAGTCCCATAGAACCATAAAATCCGCTGGGGGAGAGGAGGGGGACCCGGGGAGGGAGGAGAGAAGGATTGTAGGGAGAGGAGGAAGCTCTTGAGTTATTACAAAAGCACCCACTTGGGACGCGCAAGGCTCTTCGAAACGCTTGCGCCCTGACGAGGAGTTATTACAAAAGCACGTGAGGGAGAAACAGACAGGAAGCTGAGGGTAACAGCAGGAGCACCTGAGAAAAACAGAGAGCACCTGAGACCAACAGCAGGAGCACCTGGGAAGATCATAGGGGCACTTGAGAGCAACAGAAAGAGAGATGCACCTTGGGGGCACGGCGAGGCGTCTGGCGAGACCACTGCGTCGTTGAAGATGTGCAGCAAGTGGGTGGCAGCCTGGACGGCATCGCTCGGCATCTTCTGCACGACTGACTGCAGCGCCATGACGAGGATGCGGACGAAAAGAGCCTGCTGGGCGGCAGAGAAGCGCCGGGAGGGACTGAGAAAGAAGAGAACGGGTGGAGTAGGGGAAGGGAGGGGGGAGAACTGGGATGGCCATGAGAGGAGGGAGAGATGAAAAGGTTTTGGGAGAGGAAGGATGGTGGATAATGAGAAGGAGCCTGGTGGATAAACCCCTTGCCACTAATTGCATATAGTTGAGGTTGAGCGCACACCATCCTTCCCTTACCTGCGGTGCGTTGCTCGAATGTAATCCACCAGCTCTGCATGATCCGTCAGTTGCCGCCTGAAGAAAGCGTCCGTGAAGTTGCAGTGAGGGTGGGAGGTGAAAGGCCCAGCGAAGAGCGTGCAGAGGAAGGCAACGAGGCGATTGCGCGAGGCCAGGGAGAGGCTCTTGGCTGGGGACGACTGCTCCAAGCTGCTGCTATTACTGGTGGTGCTGCTTCTGTTGTTATCGTTGCTGCTGCCACTACCACCGCCACTGCTGCTGTTACCACTGCTGCCATTGCTGCCACTGCCACTGCCACTGCCACTGCCACTGCCACCACTGTCACTGCTGCCGCCAGCTGTCGGCCCGGCCAGGCAGTTCTCCTTCACTGCGGTGTACAGCGCCCGTGCCACCGCCACCTGGCACGCCCTGATTCGCTCTCCGTCTGTCGTCCCAAGGCTCTCCCACACGAGCCGCTGGGCTTCTGCGATTGGCTGGGAGGAGGTGGCTGGAGGGGGTGGGGGGGAGAATGGGTGAGGATGAGGGGATGGAAGGGTGGGTGAGGTGCAAGGAGGCAGCTTCGGTGGCTGGTGGGAAGAGGAAGCTGGGAAGGGGGGGGGGAGGGAGAGGGGGGGTGGGAGGCGCATCAAAATTCACCTGGGAGGAATGAGGAGGTCGGTGGAGAGGGGAAGAGCTGTCGGCTGGAGCGAAAAGCACCGGCACTCTTGTGAGGAGGAGTGTGGAGACTAGGGGGGTGGTGGAGACTGGAAGCGTGGAAGGAGGGAGCACTGACCCGTTCTTCCTTTAGCTTCTGCCTCAGCTGCTGGTGGTGCTGGCAGGGAGGGAGACACGCGGGCATGGAGACGACGTGGAGTGTAATCAGGAAACACAATTAGGGTCAAAAAGAGGAGGGGTTGACGGGATCATCTTAAACGCCCCGATGACAAAGGATATCATAACCGAGACAACGCATTGACAACCAAAGACAGAGGATCGTCAAACCAGCACATACCTGGACTGAAGGAGAGCATGGGAAGAACTTGCCTCAGAGTACATACCAGCTGCACTGACGCCATGCCAGCCCAGGGATCCAAGAGAGACCCGGCAGGCCAAGAGGGGTGCGGGGAGGACATGGGGAGCGCTTCAGGAGCAGAGGAGCTGACACGGCTGTGCACACAGGGAGCGGCTGGGGTGTTGGTTGGGAGACTGGTGCTGGAAGGGTCACACGGAGTGACTTGAAGAGGTGCTTGTTGCAAGTGGCTGCTGCTGCTGGCGCTGCTGCTGTGAGCAGACGACTCTAGTAGCAAACGAGCAGACAGGGAACTTGGTGCTTCTGGTGCGTCCACTGCTGCTGCTGCCTCTGCTGGTGCTGCTGCTACTGGTGCTGCTGCTGCTGGTGCTGCTGCTGCTGGTGCTGCTGCTGCTGGCGCTGCTGGTGCTGCTGCTGCTGGTGCTGCTGCTGCTGGTGCTGCTGCTGCTGGTGCTGCTGCTGCTGGTGCTGCTGCTGCTGGTGCTGCTGCTGCTGGTGCTGCTGCTGCTGGTGCTGTCGGTGCCGCTGCTGTTGTAGGTGGCTGGGATGCTGCTGCTGCAGGGGACTCTGAGAGCATATCTGCGCACATCCATACAGGGCACACGTGGTAGGATCAGAGGACGTAGGTGATGGTGTGTGTGTTTAAGGCGTCTGGCAGGCAGGCACAAGGCAAAGGAGAAGTGGTGGTAGGAGAAGCGGCAGAGAGTGCAGCAGGATATGACGACATGGCAGGGGAAGGGTATGGGCAAGGGCGGAGGTGAGGGGCAGGGGGAGCACCAGTGCATGAGGGTGTTTGCAGAGACGCCTCGAAGACAGTGAACGCCTGGCGGGAACAGCGTTGTATGGGGAGGGAAAGAAGGGGGACACCGGAGGAGGGTATGGGCAAGGCAAGGAGGTGAGGGGCAGGAGGGACGGTAGGAACAGGACTGCAGTTGAAAGTATGAACCCCTGAGAGCACCAAGCACATCCGAGACACATCGAAGACCAAAATGGAAGCATGCAAAGGGAATGCGTGTGTGAGGGGTCTGATCTCACCTGGGAGCAGGTGATGCTGTCAGGGGGGTCGAAGGTGGTCCCTGGCAGCATGATGTTGCACGCCTGGAAGCAACTGCCTAGCGCTGCAGATGCCACACGCACGGGCAGAGTCGTGGGAGGACTGGTGCTTGCGGCGCTGCTGCTGCTGTTGCCCGTGCTGCTGCTGCTGCTTCTGGTGCACAGTTGCGGGAGACAGATAGTCCATATGGCACAGGTCTGGGGCATGGGAGACGCGAGGGAGAGGAGTGAAGAGAAGGGAGTGAGTGAGGACTGGTGCTGTTGGTGGTGTTGCCAGTGCTGCTGCTGCTTCTGGTGCACAGTTGCGGGAGACAGATAGTCCATATGGCACAGGTCTGGGGCATGGGAGACGTGAGGGAGAGAGGAGAGCGGAGAGGGAAGTGAGGAGACGGGAGGGAGGAATAGGGAGAGCAGAGTGCTCACAATGACATAACCACGCACTGCACCTGTCTGCACCGCACCGCAGCATGCACGTCTTCAGCACCTCTCCACTGCATCATACCTGTCTGCACCGCTGCAAACCCCTGCTTGCACATGCACCGCGTCCAACACCTCACCACCACACCGTACCTGTCTGCACCGCTGCAGACCGCTCTCGCCGTCCTCCACACACCCATCCACGCTCGCCAGCAGCACATTCGCCCCCGTGCCGTTGGAAGGCCGCAGATACTCCTTTGTGGACGGCGAAGCGGTGGGCGAGGCGGGTGGAGGAGTTGACTTTTGAGTCGACTCAAAAGGCGAAGCGGTGGGCGAGGCGGGTGGAGGAGTTGACTTTTGAGTCGACTCAAAAGGCGAAGCGGTGGGCGAGGCAGGTGGAGGAGTTGACTTTTGAGTCGACTCAAAAGGCGAAGCGGTGGGCGAGGCGGGTGGAGGAGTTGACTTTTGAGTCGACTCAAAAGTCGAAGCGGTGGGCGAGGCGGGTGGAGGAGAGGCGGAGGGGGAGACACGCGAGGAGGGCAGTCGGAAGGGGGCTGGGGCAGGGGCGGTGGAAACAGGGGGTGGCGGCGGTGGCAGTGGCGGCGGTGCTGATATCATCACCGAGCCTTCAGCAGCTGAGCCTGAGCTGTTAACACCAGAGGAGGAGTCTGTGCCAGGTTCTGAAGCGCCTGTGGTCTTCTTCCCTAGGGACTCATAGACATAGACGCCCACGCCCCCGGTGGGAGCAGTGAGGGAGACGAACCAGTCGTTGTCTGGCAGGCGCACTGTGACTGTGTGCCAGCCTGTCAGCTCCGTGAATGTCTGGGGGTCCTGAAACCTGATGTGCGGGAGGGAGGAGAGGAGGAGAGGAGGGGAGGGAGACGAACCAGTCGTTGTCTGGCAGGCGCACTGTGACCGTGTGCCAGCCTTTCAGCTCGATAAATAGCTGGGGGTCCTGGAACCTGAACGGGTGTGAGGGAGGGGAGAGGGTGTGTATCTTAGCACATACTCTCTCCCATTCACCAGCAACGTACCAGTCGTTGTCTGGCAGGCGCACTGTGACCGTGTGCCAGCCCGTGAACTCTGTGAATAGCTGGGGGTCCTGGAACCTGGTGTGGGGGAAGAACGAGAAAAGCGGGGAGGGGGAGAAGGAACGAGCTGCTCATCATCATGGCCTCCCTTGATGTGAAGTGGCACCCCAGGGCCACCGTCACCACCCCACCGCCATCCTCCCACTCCACACACGCACACACTCACTCACTCACTCACTCTCCAGCACACGTCTCGGATGGCAGTGGAGCAGAGGTTCCACGAGCTGCTAAGCATCGCCTCCCTCGATGCAAAGTGGCACCGCAATGCCACCGTCACCTCCTTCCCACCCAAACACGCCTGCACACGCAATTCCAAACACTCACCCTGGTACAGAGAGAAACTCTCACCAGCACACGTCTCGGATGGCAGTGGAGCAGAGGTTCCAGGAGCTGCTCTGCATGGCCTCCCTCAATGCAAAGTGGCACCGCAGCGCCACCGTCACCACACCATCGCCACACTCGCTCATACACAGCCACGCAGACACTCACTCACACAGGTACAGAGAGGGAACTCACCAGCACACATCTCGGATAGCAGTAGAGCAGAGGTTCCAGGAGCTGCTAACCATGGCCTCCCTCAATGCAAAGTGGCACCGCAGAGCCACCGTCACCACCTTCCCACCCCCACACGCCCGCTCACGCTTTCCCACACACTCACTCTGGTACAGAGAGAGGGCTCACCAGCACACATCTCTGATAGCAGTAGAGCAGAGGTTCCAGGAGCTGCTAACCATAGCTTCCCTCGATGCAAAGTGACATCGCAGCGCCACCGTCACCGTTGTAACGTTACGCGCGTTACCACAGTCTTGGGCACAGCCAAATCGGCCCACTGCAGGAAATTCAGTTGGGGGTGTGCATGTGCCGTCGCCGCATTGAGGATCCGACCATATGACCTGCAAGGAGGGAGGAGAGAGGGTTTGTGCTGGCTTAGGATCATTCTGGGAGCAGTCGGACAGGCAGACACGAGAATCAGTTTGTAGTGCTCCTATCCAGGATATTTTCTTAGTCAACTTTGAGCTCGTTCATCTAAGTTTAGGTATAGCCTCTGGCTAGCGTTGGAGATTAGTAGTCACTTGGAGAAAATTCTGGTTTTCTGGTGCAATTTTCACTGAAAACAGAGAAGTACAAACAACTGATTGAAAACAAACACATTTAAGCATTTCGAAATGTGATGTGCGCCTCGCGTAACGCGTCATCCGCGTTTCAGCCCGAGTCGCACGCGTAACCGAATTCGGTAACCGTCACCGGAACCGAAACCCGTTTGTCCCTTCCGCACCGAACACGGTTCGGTTTCGGTTGGACATTCTAGGCTTCGGAAATGTCTTCTCGACATTTCCCGAACCCTATTTCTCAGTCATTCCGTTTTCCCTTACTTTCCTCACGTTTTCCTCTCGTAACTACTTAGCATGCAGCCCCACCGTTCTAGGTACCGGTTCCCCATATTAGGTCGTAGTTCCCACCGTTCCTAGAGTTCTTCTACCGTCCCTAGGTCAGGCGCGCAGGCCGGTAGACACTAGGGCAGTGGCGAACCACCCTAACAATCTCCCCCGTGGTTTGCCAGCTGCCACCCTCCTATGCTCCAGTGGTTACAATGTAACCCGCCTTCTTCTTCCCTTGCTGATCCCAACCGTAAGGTGGTGTAGTATCTCGTGTTGCTGCTCCGCTGCTCCCTTGCAAGTCCTTGAGGGTGCGCATGCCGACAAAATACTTGCAGAACTCGAATTTTGCCTTCGGTAGCACCTTGGTGAGGAAATCCGCTGGCTGCTCATGTGTTCCCACGTGCACGAAGGTGAATGCCTTCTTCTGTAGCTGCTCCCGTACCCAATGGTACCTCACGTTCATGTGTTTCGTGCGCCCATGCCAGTTGTCGTTTCGTGCGAGGTCAATCGCTGATTTGTTGTCCGATTTGATTGTTGTAGGTCCTTCCACTTTGACCCCCATCTCTTGAAGTGAGCGCCTCAGCCACACACCCTCTTGGCATGCATAAAACAGCGCCATATATTCAGACTCCGCGGTGGACAGAGCGACGTCGGTGAGCTTCTTGGCTTGCCACATGATTGCTGTACCGCCAAGGAGGTAAACATAGCCATAGGCTCCCCTCCCATCCTTCTTGTCTGATCCGTGTGAGGCGTCAGCGTACCCCACTAGCTCTAGACTCTCCTCTCCCCCTTCAAACAGCAGCCCCTCATCATCCCCCTGCAAGAGGTAAGTGATGGTCCGCTCAATTTCCTTCCACTTGCGTCCCTCGGGCTGCAACACCCTCTGTCCAAGAAAGCTTGTAGCATAGGCCACATCAACCCGTGTGCATGACACCGGGTACATGACTGAGCCTACCATGGATTGGTAAGCTTTGAGCGCTCTCTCCCTGTTGCCCCATGCCTCAATTTCTGCTCCCACATCGACCTCCTTGTCCGCAAGGCTGCTGAGAGGTGTTGTCACTGGTTTAGTCTTGCAATGCCCTCCAAACCTCTCCCGCAACCTCTGAAAGTACTTCTTCTGGTATAGCAGCAACTTTTTCTCCTCCCTATTCCTCTCTATGTTCATTCCAAGGAAGAGAGTGGTCCTTGGAATCTTCTTCACCTGAAATACAGCTGCGAGGTGAGTGCACACCTCCTCCACCTTCTCCTCCTTTGCTCCAGCCACTAGGATATCATCCACGTAGAGGAGTAGGAACACCTTGTTTTCCCCCTCTCCCTTCCAGTAGAATGCACGGTCACATTAGCTCTTGATGAACCCCCCCTTTTCCAGCTGTGCGTCCATGGCTAGGTACCACTCCCGTGGGCTTTGTTTCAGCCCATAAAGTGCTTTGATGAGCTTGCACTTTCTGTCCGTGCCGTCCTCACACCCCGGTGGCTGATTCATGTAGATAGTCTCCTTCAAAATGCCATAGAGAAAGGAATTTTTTATGTCCAGCTGCACCATGAAGTACCCGCGTGCCGTCACCACCTTTAGCATGATTCTTGCCGTTGTTAATTTGCTAACGGGTGCGTAGAGTTGGTCGTAGTCCTCTCCTTCCACCTGAGTGTAGCCTTTAGCCACAAGTCGTGCCTTGAAACGCTCAAGTTGTCCCATGTCTCCTGTTTTGATCTTGAAAATACAGCGCACTCCCACTGCTTTCCTCCCCTCGGGCATGTTCACAAGCTCCCATGTCCCCCTTTCAGCCAAGGTATCAAGTTCCTCCTGGATTGCAGCCCTCCATTGCTCCTTGTTCGGTCCGGACAGTGCCTCTTCAATGGTGAGAGGCTCGGTGGGCAGCTTGTAGCTTTCCACCTTCCCCTTTGATAGAAGTGCCGTTGCCGTAGTGGTAAAGAGGAGGTGGGTGTGAATGTCCTTGCAGCAGGTCAGAAGCATTTGGGCATACTTGAGGTTGGGTTTCTTGACCCGTTTCCCTTTGCCCATCTCCTCATTCTCATTTTCAGCTCCACCTTTCTCTGCTGCTGCATTATCATCCGTTCCTTGTTGCACGGAATCTCCTTCAATCTCTCTTCCGATGATGATCGCTCCGTCCACAAGTAGGTCTTCAATCTCTGCTGCCGCCTTTTCATTGTCCCCCGTGTCAATGATGCGCCATGGGTCGGAGTACCCCGTGCTGGCAGATTCAGCCACACTCTCTTCCACATCAGAAATCTCAGCTTCTTCCTCACCGGCTTCATTCGTTGCGCTGTCACCCGCTTCTTCTCCCTTATCATTTTCTTCTTCACCCTCTTCCACGGCAGTTGAAGGTGAGGTTAGCTCCTGGACCTCCCACACCCAGTCGAAACCCGGTGTAGTGTGGTCTTCGTAGTCGTCATTGTCACCGCTTCCATTGGCTGCCCCTATCCCCTCCTTCTCACTCCCATCTATCATCTCCTCCACTGGAGTTGGTGCTGCTGCCGCTTTCTTTGCAACAGCTCCTTGTTTCCGTCCCTTCCACTCCAAGTAGGTGTCCTGCTCGTAGAAGGTAACATCTCTGGTCGCCGTGACTTTTCCAGTCTCCACATCGCGTATCACCCACCCTTTGCTCTCCGGGCAGATTCCCAAGTGAATTCCCCACTTGGTCCGAGGGAGAAGCTTGTGATCGGGTCCCGCCGCCTCTCGGTATTGCGTCATGCAGCCCAAACACGTAAGAACTCCAGATTCGGCTTCCTCTTGTAGAACGCCTCGTGAGGGGTAACGTCCGCCGCTAATCCCTTTGTCGGTAGCCAATTTTTCAGCCAAAATGACATGCCTAGTGCATCTCCCCAGTAGTGAAGGGGCAATTTGCTGTCCGCGAGCAAGCTCCTCACACCCTCCAGCAGTGATCGGTTCACCCGCTCCGCAATGCTGTTGTGTTGAGGAGTGTATGGGACCCATGTGTGTCGTGTGCCAAGGTCGGTGAAGGTAACGAAATATTTGCTGCCATGTCGTGAAGCCACTCGCATCGGTCCACATACGTCGGCTGCCACAATAGCCATTGTCTCGTATGGCTCACGGACTCCATGCTTGGGATGTGGTGCCTTTGTTGCCTTTGATTCCACGCAAGTGCTGCACTTCAGATTTTCCTCTCCACCCTCGGCTACCTTCACTCCTGCTGCCATGTTCTTCTTGACCAGCTGCTTGATTCGAGTGTGACCAGCGTGCCCCATCCTCCTGTGCAGCAGGTTGACGTCCACCGTGCTCACTGCTGCAGCCATAGGAAGCGCCTGCTGCTGCAGCTCCTTGATCGGAACTTTTTTCAACTTGGTGCGTAGCTCATCTCGTGCCACCTTGCCCGCTTCCGGTTCAGCCATGTACGTGGGCTTCTCCCACTCTGTTTTTCGTGCAGCTTCATCTCGTACAGCCCTTGCTTGCGTGATCCTTCCGCTATCACCTTCCAATCCGAACCGAACACCCATATGCTGCCCTTGTCACTGAAAGTCTCGCACCCACCGCTGTCCAACTGCGATTGGCTTATGAGGTTGAGTGTGAGCTTGTCCACCAGCAGCACGTTGTCCAGTTCACCTCACCATAAGCACTTTGCAGCACTAGATCTCCTTCCCCTTTCACAGGAAGTTTCCCCTCGTCTCCCAACAGCACGTACGGGATCGGTGATGCTCTGAAATTTTGCAGCCACTCCTTCCGATTGGTCATGTGTTGGGTACATCCACTATCCATGTACCACTCCTTGCCTTTGAGGCCCTTTGCAAGCAGGCATGCTCCGGATGCTCTTGCAACATTGGCCTTGTGGGCTCCCCCGAGGATGACGTCGTCGTCGCTGGTTTCCGCTTCGGTGGCGTTGATCTTCACAGGTACGTGATTCCTTTGCTGCTGCTGCCCTCCCCTAAAGCTCTTGCTCATTGGGGTACTGTAGCAATCGATTGCCTTGTGACCAAATTTCCCGCAGTGGTTGCAGTTTTCCAGCAAATCCGCCTCGCTGTCGTTGTCCTCCTACGCTTGTTTCCTCATTGGCAGATTGCCTAACTGCTGCCGTACCTCTGAAATTCTTGCTTCTTGGGTTGGAGTAACACTCGGCAGCCTTGTGCCCTTTCTTCCCACAGTGGAAGCAAACTCCGAATGATTTTCCTGCCCCAGTTGCGTTCAACATGGCATGTTTGTTGTTGCTGAAGTTGTCCGGCAGCGCCTCCCTTCGCTCTTCCTCAGCACGTATCAGCGCAACGTCTTGAAGGACTCCACCAGGTCCGTCATGTCTGTAGGCGTCTGCAGGCCAGCATCCGCTTCTCTGCTGCCCATGGATTTCGGTAGGCCGCCAATGATGTAGCTCATCATTTGCTTCTCCGATTCGGGCACTCCCATAGCCGTCAGGTTGTCGTTGTAGCCTTTAGCACGGCCCACGTAGTCCACCACCGTCTCGGAAGGTTCCATGGCCAGCAATAGAGTTTCGTCCTCACTGCTGTCATCTTTGCCTCGCTTTCCCCGAGGTACACTCGTTCCAATGTACGCCCACGCCTTCTCTGCTGCGTTGTCCTCCTCAGAGAACGGTCGAGTCGTGCTGCGATTGAATCCGAGACCGAATGGCAGAGTTGAAAGAAAGCTTGTTGGCTTCTTTTCTCTTGAACGTTTTTTTCTCTCTTGTGCCGGTTGCAGGTGCAGGTCCATCTTCCTCCGTCGCTGCCTCTGGGTTGTAGAAATGCCACAAATCTACCTCCCGGGCGCGTCGCATGAACTTCAGCCTCCATGTGCCGTAGTTCTCTTCCATTGAAGCGTTGAGCTTCACTTAGGCCAAGTTGTCGGTTTTGGCCACGATTTGCCCCTTGGCAAGGGCCATCGAGTAGACTCTGCAGCTGCGCACCGTCAGGTTCACTGAAGACCCTGAACTGGTCTCTCCATCTCCTTTCCCCATGTCGTTGAAATATTCGCCCTCATCCAATTACTCTAAAAAATTATAACGCCTCCAAGGCTTTTATAATGAGGCTCGACGCGACGATAACAAGCTCTGGATACCAGCCTAAGTTTTAGGTATAGCCTCCGGCTTAGCGTTGGAGATTAGTAGTCACTTGGAGAAAATTCTGGTTTTCTGGTGCAATTTCACTGAAAACAGAGAAGTACAAACAACTGATTGAAAACAAACACATTTAAGCATTTCGAAATGTGATGTGCGCCTCGCGTAACGCGTCATCCGCGTTTCAGCCCGAGTCGCACGCGTAACCGAATTCGGTAACCGTCACCGGAACCGAAACCCGTTTGTCCCTTCCGCACCGAACATGGTTCGGTTTCGGTTGGACATTCTAGGCTTCGGAAATGTCTTCTCGACATTTCCCGAACCCTATTTCTCAGTCATTCCGTTTTCCCTTACTTTCCTCACGTTTTCCTCTCGTAACTACTTAGCATGCAGCCCCACCGTTCTAGGTACCGGTTCCCCATATTAGGTCGTAGTTCCCACCGTTCCTAGAGTTCTTCTACCGTCCCTAGGTCAGGCGCGCAGGCCGGTAGACACTAGGGCAGTGGCGAACCACCCTAACAGTTCAGGCCCACGGTGGGGCAATAACCCTGTGGAATGGACCCACCTGAATGATGCTGTTGTTAAGCCAGGTGTAGAAGTCGCTGCTGCTGGCAAAGGAGTAGCTTGAGTCCCCTGAGTAGTCCTGCCTCAGAATCACACATGCATACAGGAACACACACACACACACACACACACACACACACATACACACACACAGACACACACACAC